CTTCTTATTATTAATTAAATTAAGGGATTTATTTAGAGATTTTAGCACTGATATAAAATGAGTTTTATTAGGTACAGAATTTTCAAACTTTTGCTTATGAATGAAAAACCTTGCATATATAATAACAAAATCAAGCATGTGTCCAAAATTACTGTTTTCAGAGTTAGTACTGTATTAGCAAATAATATATTTGGGTTTTAATGAGAATACAATTTTAGTTGCATGTATAAAGTGAGACTCTGGGTCGCTCCAAAATGTTTATGTCACAGCTGAAAAATAAATGTGAAGTAGTTGTTTCTGAAACTTTTTACAGAAAGTGCAGGAGTCAGCAACAACTGTGAATTTAGCAATGATACAGTTCACAGGGTTTATGTCGTGTAAATTTTTAAAGTGCACTTCTATATTTGTAAGGTAAGAGCCAGGCCGTTCTCCAATCAAATTTACCTCTAGGTACAATGCTATTCTTTTTTTGAAGGCATTGGCGAATGTGTTTGTTGTTGCGTTTTTTTTTATCTGTCTGTTTAATTCCTTCCAGTGTAACGATGCTCTGTTCACATGCCGACATTCCCCTTTGACATCACTTCCTGTTTCTTCACATGCAAATATCTCAGCCACTGTTCATCTCAGCGGCGTGAAATTTGTTTTGCAATATGCTATCAATGTTACCTGTCCAAAAATGCAGACTCACTTTTCACCTGCTCTTGCAAGTTATAATATGCTGACATGTTTGCAAAGTCTGCAGTGTGCTATTTTAAGTCTCGTGATGACTTATAAGAAGCCTCCGCCCTGCTTTTGGAGCACTCTTTCGTCCATTTAGTCACAAGAATCGTGTTAAACGTTGGTTACCTTAGAGGTGTAATGTGTCTTTTTTCACACCAAATTCACAAGATCTACTTTAGTTCATTTTTGTTCTACAATAATATGCAGTAATCTAATAATTTGAATAAGTACCTGTACTTATACAGGTACATGTAGTGCAAAAGTAACTGTATATAGGTAAACATCAGACATGATATAGACCAGACAATATAGATGCCAGTGTTACACAATATTTAACAATAGTATATTGCAAACATTTGATGTCACAGGCACTTTATGTTTAAACTAGAAAACCTATTTTGGAACTTCCTAGTTTCTTACTGTAATGATTTATTTATGGAACAAAAAGATCTGACTGAGGTCATGGTTTGTCACCAGATGCGTCCATGGAAAGTGCATCCCTCTGGACGCGCAGTCGTACCGCTGTGAGTGCGCAGAGGGTTACCGAGGCGCGCTGTGTAACCAACAAGGGGAGCTGTTCAACCCCTGCCGCCACCTCTCCTGCAAACACGGCCGCTGCCAGGTCTCCGACACGGGAGACGCGTACTGTCACTGCGAAAGTGGTTACACTGGGGATCTCTGCGACGCAGGTCCGTTTGAGATGTCTGACCGCTAAAACGTGCACGTTTGAAACTGTGCGCACAAATATCGAAGCTAAATGCTTCTTTTTTTTTATGATTATTTTTAGAGTCTGAGTGTCGAGGCGAGCCTGTGCGAGACTTCTACCAGGTGCAGCGAGGCTACGCCATCTGTCAAACCACTCGCGTGGTCTCCTGGGTGGAGTGCTCCGGCGTGTGCGACGCGGGCGCCTGCTGCGGCAGCCAGAGGATGAAACGCCGGAAATACACCTTCGAGTGCAGCGACGGGACGTCCTTCAGCGAGGAGGTGGAGAAGACCATCAAGTGCGGCTGCGTGGGCTGCATGTAGCGTCGCTAACTCACACGTCCTGCTGCTGGGTGCGGAAGCAGAAGATCGAGAAACAAAAGCGAGGAGGAGAGGAAGGGAGGAAGTAAACTGCTGAAACGTGAAGGAGGAAAGGAAAGAAAGTGAAAGAGATTATACAGAATATATACAAAACCTCTATCTATATATTATGGACAACAATGTTTGTAAAATAGAACATTTGCTCCCCTTCTGAGGGTGTGTGACCTGCAGAAACACCAACATCCTGAGCATCAGAGTAGAAGTGACAACAGCAACAAAACCATTGTGTCTGCAACATTGTTCAAATGGGGTCCAGAGATTTTAGAAGTGCTGCATTCAGAGTTCTGCATCCAGACTTTTCCATTTGAATGCCCCCATCTATAAGGCCTCTAACCGTTCTGCCACCATCTTTCATCTTTACTTCATAGAGGCAGCGAGGACGGAGAAAGGGCAGAGAGAGAACAGGACCAGAGAGATGGATGGACTCGTTGGGACTTGGCCAAGCTGTCTTGAGTTGAGCTCGTCTGTGTTGGGCTTTGGGTTTCATCTGATTGGGTGTAGCAATTCCCCCACCCCGCACCTCGCCCCCCACCCACCCACCAGGATGCTTTCATCCGTCCCCACGCGTAGACGTCAGGAGGCAGACAGTGGGGTTAGAGCAACACTTAATCCTGCGCGAATGTTGTGGCTTAAAAAGCTTGGTTGCTCAGAGTCGAACTGGAACGTAGAACCCACCCCCCACCCCGCCCCCCGGGCAGAGACTGCAGCGGCGAGCAGCACTGAAAAAACAGCCGTCACACAACCGCTCCGAAGTCCCCGATCACACAGTCTTAACCCGGACCCAGAGGCCTTGTGTGCCCCCCCCCAGCTGTTCTCCCAGCAAACCAGCGTGGCAGAGGCAGCCCCCCCCTCCCCAGGATAATCCCCACTTCCTCTGAGCAGGAGGCCGAGTCACCCTGCTCCTCTTGCAGTATTAAACCTGTGCAAACTGTTGCATGTGTGGAGAAGAGTTTTCCAGCACGTACGTAGAGCTTCTTCACATTATTATAAAGATTATAAAACAAAAGGTTAAAAAACAAACAAAAAAAACCACATTTCATTGTTTTTGTTTTGTTCTAGTTTCTCACAGGTTTCTGATATATTTTATTTCTTTTCTTGATGTATTCTAACTCCTTTAGCTGCCCACCCCTACATCTCTTTATATTAAAACGCCTAACAGATTCTAATATATATACATATATATTTGTATTTTGTTTTGGTATAGTATTTTTCTATGTTAAAGAGTAAGCTTGTTTTAGGAAGCATTTGGACTGATGGAAAAGCATTTTGTTTGTTCTCTTAATGTTTTTTCTTTTTTTTTTTGTTCTTTTTCTCCAAGAAGGTAATTAATTGTGTTAATTGGTCAAAAAAACATGCAAGAGCAGGTTGGCCTTGTTGTATAGGAGGCAGTATTGGTCTAGAAATCTGTTTAATATTGTATATGTTGTCTTCCATGTGAATATTACATTTAATACATACCAATCTGTGCTTGTTTTTATTTATTTTATTTACAGGCATTTTCCGGTAGAAAATGAAAAACGTGTAAGTGTTGCTGGCATTCAGTTCTTCAAAAAAATATAAATAAATAAATAAAACCGATTCAAAAATGGTGAAGCACTCGATAGAGATGGCATAAAGTTTCATTTAGTGATTGTGAGTTACAGCAGTATTTTTTTCTGTTTGCTGCAAAGTCTGGAGAAGTCAGAGCTCGGATTAGGCGTCGTCCTGCTCAAATGGAACTTTTTAACAGATTAGACTTTAAAGCATGTGATCTTTGATTTTTTTTTTAAATCTTGATAAGTAATGGGCTGCATTTTTATGATCTGAATCTGTGATATTTGCCACAGATCAGAGGTCTTCAGTTCAGTCGAGCTCAACTGATCATAAGCTGCTGTCAAGTTGGAGGAAACGGGAGGAAAGTTGCCTCTCTGGACACGGACCGTGGTTCGGATCTCCTTACATGTGAACTGTGTGAAAGCGTTACATGCCAACTACTGACAGATAAGAAAGGTCCAGACATTGTTGTTGTCTGTCAGCTTTAACAAAACAAAAAGGAAAAAAAAAAGAAGATGAAAATGTGCCAATTATAGTGAACAGTCATACCTGAATGTATAAATGTGTATAGATAAATATGTCCTACGCTTATTCATGAAGTGGTAACTTTTAGCTGTTATTTAGTTTCCAAATGTAAAAAAACAGGCTTTGTTCTGCCTGCAGACTGGGATTGTGTTTCTCTAAATGTCTCTATAATGTAAAAGGCTGCAGACCCAGATCTCATAGTGTCCCCTCACACTGGTTCCTGTTCATACTCATGTTAACATTGTTTTACATGCTGTTGATGTGATGCCAGTGGTGTAAAAACATTACAGATGAACGGTCACTGTAATATTTAGGCCATCTGCCTCGTAAAGGTGCATATTTTTTAGTCAAATGTGACTTTTTGTTCGTTCCTTTGCACTGATCTGTCCTGGACTTGGTGCGTTCAGCCTCTTAGTGGTACTTGTGCTATATTGAGATGTAATTCCATAATCTGGTCATATGAAGAGAAACACAAACTTTCCGTCTTATGAACTATATAAATGTTATTGTAAGCGACACAATGTTTCTGTTGTATTAATATGGTACATAAAGCTAAAGAAAATAATCCCCGGTTGAGTTCAGCCTGTTTGCTTTGATGCTGCAGGACTGAACTGTGGGACTGAACTGAAAAACTTAAAAATGCTGAATGTATGTAGTGCCACCGACAAAATGTTTACCAAACCTCCACTCTTTTCATTAATTAAACCTAAAATGTGTGTGCTTTTAATTGTGTTTGTCTCTTTGTCGTTTTACTTAATGTCAATTTTTGGACTTCTCACTATTATAAAAAGTACTTTGGGTGTACAAAATACACCTAAATTGACTGTATGACTTCCAGAGGTTTATAACTAAGTACATTTACTTCATTACAGTAATTTGTTTTAAGGATTTGTAATTTTACCAATTATTTTTTTTATATCGTTACTTCTACTTCAGTACATTTTAAACCTAAAATTATACTTTTCTTTCAAATTCAACACCTACTAACTGCTTGTTTTAAAAAGAAATATCCAAACTCGTCAATTGTTTATGCGCTCTAAAAATAAATGTGTTGAATTTACTCAACCAAGTCATGTCAACTGGTTCCACTAAACCGAGCAATATACAGTATTAAAGGGAAAAAAACTGTATATTGCTTCATATTTACTCTGCTAGGTTTAGTGGAGCCAGTTCTTAGAGAGTGTCTAAAAGCACTTTTACTGTCCTGATTTTTGTGATCAGTTTTATTACTTTTACTTACATTTTACTGATGAGAAAAGTACTTATTGTATTTTTACCAAAGTCATTTTCTGTTAAGGTAGTTTTTTTCCAAGTACTTTGCAGACCTCTGATGACTTCGTGCATTGATTTCTCATACAAGATTCAACAAGTGAGGCAATGAGGGAGAAACGCTGCAGAAAACTATATAAATTACTAAAACAAGTGCAGCCATCAGGACCATGTTTCTGTGTTCATGTGTAATGTCAAAACTAAAGAGCTCAGATGAATTTAGGTTTTTAAAAGACAGGGATTTGGAATAATCCTAAATCATGTAATCTCAACCTCACCAARCTTCATTTCAGTAAAGGCAAACTAAACGTAGAAAGAGTCCTAATAAGTAGAATCCATGAGGCCGGTCTAATTAATGTTTATCAGAATTTGATACATCTGGGTACATTTACTCAGTTACTTGAGTAACTTTTTGGGGGAGGAATATAGCCTACTTTTAGGAGCACCTTTACTACAACCTACTTTTTACCACAATAGATACAGTCACTGGAAGTACTTTACCATGTTCTGTAAATAAAAAAAAAAAACAATTTAATAACAATTTCACCTGTAAGTGTTTCTTCTGCTGAAATTTATTTTTTGATTATTTGTATTTTTCTTTTTTTTTAGTCTTTAAAATAATAGAATCTGCAACTTTCTATTTTTTGTCAGTCTGATGACGTCAATTTAAACATTAAATCAGATGTTCAGTACTCAAAATACTTACTCTGACAAGTGATTTATTGGATGGTTATTATTATTATTATTATTTTTTTACTTTTAATTAAAGATATGATGAAGTAGTGTTTACCTTTTACTTGAGTACAACCTTTGGGTACTCTATCCACATCTGCATTTAAGATCAAGGTTTATTAAAAGAATAAATTTATGCTTTTAAATCTGTCCTCTAAACACTTGTTTACAATTATTACTTTATTCCATCAAGTATACAAAGTGTTTGAAGATGCCAAGCCTTTAAACACTGGGAGCACAGAATTAAACTTACCTTCAGGAGTAAGACCTGTTCATAGAAATGGAACAGTTTTAAGCTGAAGAAAATTATTAAACAGCCAAACGATAAAGTCATCCATATTATATTTTTGTCACAAAACAGTGCCCCCTTCTAAAACATGCATGTTAGATTAACTAGGTGTGGGTGAGGGGGTGAATGGTTGCTGTGATGGACTTGTGACCTGCAGTGACAGGTTATTGGGCACAGCCACACCTGCGACCCAGAAAGAAGAAGCAGGTAAAAATAATGTATGGATGGAGTTTCACTGCAGTGACATCTGCTGTCCAAAATGCTAAAACTGGTTGGTCTTCTGGCTGCACAAAAACTACAAAGACTTAATACGCTGTTTTGGATAAAGCAATTTTTTTTTTTCACTTGAAAGTTTTTTTTAATAATATATTCAAAATTTAGTTGTGATTTTTTTCTGGTTCTGACCATTTACATCAAATAAAAAATGTCAAAAGGCTTTTAAGGGAGAAAATGATAAGACTGGTGTAAATAAATCCCAAAACCATAAAATTCAAACATCTTTATATCAACTCCAGCAAAAATACAAAGTTTTATTTTTAACACAAAGATGCATCTTTCTTGGGATTACCACAAATAAAGCAAGTATATCTTTTCTAATATACAAAATCARAATCCTTAAATAGCAATTGCAAAGAATAAACACGTTCAAGTCTGACATTTGGTGGGATGTTTTAGATTCTCTAAATTCATTAGTCTACTGGGAGTTTTTAAATATCAATAAAAACATAGCTGACCTGTTTTTTTTTTTTTTGCATTTTACACGATTTACTTTCTTAAAAAGAAAAGGAGCATCGTAAAAAAGAAAGAGAAAAACTGTGCTAAAATGATTTGTTTAAACACTAGAGGAAGCTACTGTGGAAGTAAGCAGACTTCACAATATGAGAACTTGCCYGACAATCGTAAATAATAAAAATAATAATAATATAAACTCCAACACAAATAGTCAGAACCCGCTTAGGAATTTTAACAGAAAATGTAACTGTACTGTATCCCTAACAGCCAAGAGGGTGTAAAGTTTGTTCATATCAGGAGTTTTTCCATCCATAAGCCAGGGACCCCGCAGTCATCTCAAATCTGAAAGACTGGTGAGGGTACRCTCAAATATTAGGTGAGTAATAAATTTAGCATTGCACTGCACAACGTGCTGACACTTTACCAAGGTTTCACACATGCAGAGGCGGGTACACGTGGGTAACAAGGTGCACAGGGATGAAACCTCATCACGAACGGTAATAACAGAAAAATCWAACGTTTTAACAATTCAGATCTTACATTTAGAACAGAGCAATTTTACCTTAATGCTTTGGGAAAGGGTATAAAATTTAATCTGTCAAAGGCGGGAGGAGTCACACAATCTGAACGTTATAGTCAACATGAGAAATCGCGGAATAGGCATAAAAAAACCACAATGCCCTCAAAGCAAATGAACGTCAACTGCATCCCCAGGAAAAGGAGGGAAGTTTTCACATTTAGCAACACATTCATAAATAAGGCACCTGGTCACGTCACGAATTCACAAAGTTGTGATTGGAAGACTGACTGGAGATACAATCTGCCAAACGACCGTACAGAAAAAATAAACGTTAATTGATTCAAAAACTCCCTTCTCGAGATCTTAAAACAGTAATGCGACATGTACCAACGTCTAAAACAAATCTACACAAAAAGAAAGACGAGCAGACTAACATGACTGTTAATTTAATGACATGTTTTTTGTAGCTCAACTAAAATGAGGTTTGACAGGCTTCTGCCATCTCCAGCCGTTTAGCTGAGGGCTGACACATGAAGCAACCGCAACTGTCAGACATCTGTCGTCCCTGAACACAGAACAAACCTTTAGGAAATACGGTTTCACAAATGTGAGGGAGTCTTAGTGTCCGTTTCTTCCACAGCTCGCTGAGAAGAGCGTTCTCTGAAGAGTTTAGGAAAAAATAGAAACATTTGGTCTTTTTAAGTATGTTGCAGATAAAAAATGGTGGTGGTGGGTATCTCTGTACAGGTTGATGTTATTTTGTCCTGGTGCGTTTAGCCGGGGTCTCCATTTGTTCCTGAGCTCTCTTGGCAGTTCCTTTCGTCACACTGCGTGGCAGCGATGTTGTCTGCAATCTCTTTAAAGCCCCGCTTCTCGTTAGTTTAGGCTCATCTGCCTCCTTCACAACTTTAGGAGATGCTGAATGTGAAGATGTCGGCTTCGCAGCTCTCTTTGAAGCATGACCTGGACTCCCGCTCGGAGGGGCCGTTGCCTCCAGTTTTCTCTGGGATCTGGTTAGGACCTGGTCTGGTGAGACTGGAGACTTCACCTCTGCGCTCTGCGGTTTGCTTTCAGCGGCATTTTCACAACTCTTGCTTTCTGCAGCCACACTCTGAGATGAATCCTTCGGCTGAGTTTTTGCAGAGCTCCCTTTACTTCCTTCGCATTTTTCCTGTTCTGCTTTGTCTGCTTCGTTCTGTTTTTTACTGTTCGCCTTGYTTTTTGGTGCGTCCGCAGAGTTCTGTTCAGATATTTTAGGGGACCCGAGTCGTTGAGAAGATCTCTTTGGTAGTTCTTTATTTGTAGTTTTGGGAGCTTTGCTGCCTTGAGTCTTGCCTGCTTTCTTTTGAACGAAACGTTTTGACTTTTTTCCAGCGAATATTTTTCTTTGCAGTTTTGCGGCAGACTCTTTCATTTGTTTGCCGATGGGTACAGCTGGTTTTCGTCCTTTCAGAGATGGCTTAAGATCTGACTTAGCGGATTTCGTAGCAACTAGTGCTTTTATCTTTTTGTTTTTTAACATCTTTGCAGCCCCCTTTAGCCTCACTGTGGTTTGCTGAACCTGCATCTTCTCTCTGATGTTGGAATACTTCCTCAGGATTCTTGCACTGGCTGGATTCTTATTTCCTGGGGATTTTTTGGATTCCCGTTTTTGTGCACAGGCCTTGGCGGAGGCTGCTGACTTACTCGGAGTTGGAGTATTGCTGGGAACTTCTGCTTTCTCCTTTCCTTTAACTGCATTTGCCTCTTGTTCAAGTGCTTTAGCAATAAGCTTCAGACTCTTGGGGTTGCTCTTTACGGGAGAGGCAATGGCAAACTTTTTCAAGTGTTTCTTTAAACGCTCTGCTTGGAGGCTTGGAAACACTCCTTGTGAAGGCCCTGATGAACTTGCTGAGCTGTGGAAGCACAGCTGAGTTTCTGATGGAAGACGAGTATTCACCTTCTTGACAATGACAAGTGACTTGGTTTCTGTTGATTCTAAGAACCAGCGACAAATATTGGTGAGATTAAAACCGTTCATGAAAAGCATTTGGACTGGTGAGTACTTCTGATGCTCTGAGGACTTTGACTTTCGTGCCCTGCGTTTACTTTTCCATATAGCGGCCTGTCTGTCTGATTTGTTTTTGTATTTTGCTGTTGGCTGACCTTCTTTGTCCATTTGCACCCAACCTTTCAGCAGTTTATCATATTTGTTGTTTAGATTTGTAATGAGATGTTGGCTCTCTTCCCCCGTCAGGGTCTCAAAGAATTTGTTGGTTGTAGGTTTTGGGGGTTCTTGTTTAGGGGGTTCTTGTTTTGGGACAACCACAGGAAGGTTTGTGTCGTGAGAAGCGGATGTAACAGACACTGAATTGGGTTTCACCTGAGCTTTGGATATTCGCTCTGGCATTATTCTAACAGGGGAGGCTACATTATTTTGTTTTGAAGTTTCTGTAGGAGCACTGGCAGAAAGTGCTGTAAATCTCTGTGATCGCAAAGCTAATTTCTTGTCTGCTGGTGGTGACTGACTAACAGACTGGTGCGACATTTCAGCCTTAATGGTCTCACTCCTTAATGGCATTCTTGTGGGTTTGTCTGATACAGAAGCATCATTACTGTCTCCACCAGCAGGCCCATCCACTAAAGATGGTACTTTTTTTTTTGGAACCAAAGCTTCGTCAACTACATCTCCATTCCTTCGAAGACCTCGTTTGCCTTTAACCAAAACAGGCTCCCTTTCCAATTCTGTCTTAAAAGGACATGTATTTTCTAAGGACTTTGATTCCCCCTCACTAAGTTGCTGTTTCTCATTCTTGCTGCCGTCTGTTACAGCTTTAGCTGATCTTAATTTCTGTTTGGTTTCTGATCCTCTGGGTGTTTCTGTTTTTTGTACATTTTCAGAGACCACCTCAGTTGGCTGTGTCTTCTTAATGTTTGAGGCTACAGGTTCTGAGACTGTTTTCTGTTGAGGATTTTCAGAACCTGAAGGTTTAGATGACCTCTTTAGAGAAGATGTGGTAACCGCGAGTGAATAAGGAAGGACGAGAGGCGGAAGCTGTTCTGCCGGGGGAAGAATAAGTGTAGAAGGGTTTGGAGAGCAAATGGAAGTAATCAAATTGGAAGTGGGTGGCAACATTGGAGCAACAAATGGCTTCTGGCTGGCTGATCTAAGAGGGCGTTTGGGTGTAGCGTTCTGAGCCTGATCAGAAAAACTATTTTTCCGAACATTCTTTTGACAAATGATATTTTTGTCTTTTAAAGGTGGTTTAGATGCAGGGATTGATGATGTCTCAGGGGATTGTTCTGTCACCTGCTGATTTTCGGAAGGAGTCTCCGCCAATTTCAAAAACATGTGTGTTTCAGGTGAAGGGTTCCCTATCTCTCTGTTTTCAACTGGTAATTCAACAGCAAGATCTGGACCAGTATTGTTCGGTACATTTTGACTAGATTTCACTGGAGTTTTACTAGGTGAAAAAGGGTTGCTACCTACTCTATGGCGCAAACTTCTGTCCGAAGCTGATACAGGCTTGCTCTTGACATAACCCACTATGACCGGTTCTGTCTGGTTTAATGACTTTGAAAGCAAACTTTTGGTACCTTTTTTCTGACGTGAAGGTGGTAACCCTTTCAGAGGTGAATCAAGTGTCTTTGTTGAGGCATCATCGTTATTTTCTGTTGCTGCAAGTAAWGAGTTGTCAACAGTTTCAGGTGTTTCAACTTCTGACTGTTCCACGGTTAGTTTCTTTGATGGACCTGGGTACGTTAACTTTTCCTCAGCTGGACCTGGGTTCATTAACTTTTCTTCTGCTGGACCTGGGTTCATTAACTTTTCTACTGTTGGACCTGTGTTCACTAGCTTTTCTTCTGCTGGACCTGTATTTATTAATTTTTCCACTGCTGGACCTGTATTTATTAATTTTTCCTCTGTTGGACCTGTGTTTATTAATTTTTCCTCTGTTGGACCTGTGTTTATTAACTTTTCCTCTACTGGACCTGTGTTTATTAACTTTTCCTCTACTGGACCTGTGTTTATTAACTTTTCCTCTACTGGACCTGTGTTTATTAACTTTTCAGTTACTTCAACGCTATCATGCTGTATTTGTGTCTCAGACGGAAGTTCCTGATGTTGCACATTTAGAATATTTTCATCTTTAACTTCTTCCATCACCTCCTCAACTTGATGCACCGGAGAAAGGGATGTATTATTCTGCAGAGGATCAGGTTCACTGTTGGGCAACTTGTCAGATAAAAGCTGAGGCTCAGCTCCTTCTATGGTATCACTTTCAACTGGTTTCACTTCTTTTTCTGAATTTATTTGCTCTGTACTGTGATCTATGACCTTTTGTGGCTCTAGTTCATTCTCTTTTGTTGCTTCATTATGTGGAGACAGAGCAACAATTTCTTCACTTTGTACCATTGTTTCTAATCCTGCTGTTTTTTCCTGTTCCGCAAAGGCATCTGCAAGATTTTCCTGATTCTCAGCTGGAAGCGCTACTGGAGTTGCTGGACTGGACTGTCCTTTGTTCTGACACTGGTCTGTCTGACTCATTTCAACTACCATGTCTACTTTACTAGCTGCTACTTCCACAACATCTCCTGCTCCTAGAATTAAACTCTCATCTGATTTTTCTGTGGGCATTTGTTGAGTCACTGTTTCTGTGCATGCTCCAGCAAAAGGCATATCAACAGGAGGTACACCTTCAGGTCTTGCAAGTATTTGTTTTGGGGTGACCAGTGTGATCAGCTCTGGCATTGGATTAAGACAGTTGCCTCTTCCAGCCAACGTGCGAACAGTTTTTAACTCCCAGATTTCATCTGAATACAAGTGCCCCCTGGTGCTTTTCCTGGCATTGCGGCGAGGGTGCACATTGCGTCGTTGTTTCTTAAAACATTCTGTAATTGGCTTGTCTATAAAAACAATGTCACAATTGCCAAGATCAGGGTCTACCATTTCCCTACACACAGAATCCCTGATCCCATGTTCACTAGACATCCTCCTGCCCTTCCTGGCAGTTCGAGCAGAATCTGAACAAATGGTCAAGTGAACTGGAAACACTTTTGCTGGTGTATTTTTGGGGTGCCCGAGAGCCTCCCTCTGCCTAGCTTCATGTGTGAGGCTAGTCTGATTGTGTCTTTTCACAGAAGTACTAAGTCTTGCACTGTGAGTCTCTCTATTGGATGAATTTGTGCCAGCCTGTTTGTTCTCAAAAGTCTCAGAGTGAGAAGCAAATGCGGTATTGAGAACACAGGACAACTTTTTACCAGCAGCAACGTTACTGGTCATAATTTTCATCTTAAGAGGGGCATGATCACTGGAACTATCGTTCTCTCCATCCACCGGATTAGCAGGAGGAGTGGTTAGATGTTGGTTATTTCCTGCTCCAAGATTGAAACTATTCAAAGCAGAATCGTCATTTACAGATGTTTTCAAGGACACGGCATTCTCTGGAATCTTCTTCAGTGTACAGCTGCTTGGGATAGAATAAGGTAATTCCTTGGCTTCTGCCTTAGGGGTAGATTCACTAGGATGTTTTAGCTCTGGAAGTGATTTCTCTGGGACGTCTCTACTGGAGTTCTCACTGGAACCAACTGTTCCTTGGTTCCCAGTGGTAGAGTTTGAGGCTTTCTGTGTATTACAAGATGCATGTGCTTTCACTTCCATCTGAAGAAAGCCAATGGCATCTACTATCTGTCGCTGATGATGGGGACAAAGTTTGGCCATGAGCTGTTCCAGTGTGACTGTAGACTGCAGGTCTTTCACTTTGGCCACACGATGATCTGGAGACCCACTATAATGACAAGAAGAATAAAAAAAACAAAAAACATCAACTGTATCAACTTAGGTTCATACTACTGATTTGACATCAATCCCAAAATACTAACAAAAAATTGGAGACAAAAGACTGAAATAACTCAGATTAATTCATGTGAATTTTTTCTTGCATATTTATTAAAAGCAAACTTAAAAGTTAATTTATCCAATTTGACGGATTACATTGCTACAGCTACTACATTATTTGTACAATAAGCACACATACATAAATAAAAATAATACATGCACACAATTAGTAGTTGCAGCCCAGTTTGATATAAATAGTTCAAACATTTATCACTTAAAATATAAAATATAATTGGGGCAAATAATGAAAACTCTGTTTTCGTCAGGACTTTGTGGTTTTTTTTGTGTCAGGAGTGTAAACTGTAGTATGTAGAAACAAGTGCTCAATAGTTTGAATAGTTTAACTAAACAAACATATTTCGTTGTTATTGTTTAACATATAACAGAATATACATGGCCAAAACAACACAAGTCTTTAAAAATTAATAATTTTAAAAATTTTCAGAAAGAATAAATGCAGCTTTTATAGTGGAGGGTGTGAAATGTGTGTGGGCCACAAGTAAGAATAATTTTGGGGATTTGTGCTGAAAAAAGAAAAAAATATATATGTTACATTGCAGTGTATTAAATGCTTTTATGCTGTTTGAGGCACCAACTTGAAATGAAATTCTACAACTAAAGAAACCAAATAGACATCATTTCCCTGCATTGATGATGTATTGACATTCACAATTAAAAAATATGAAACTAAAAAGGCAGAAAATATGTTTTTTGGCTCTGAACACAAAATAATTTATACAAATTGTGAAAAAAGTCTAAGTTTCAAAATAGTTTTCATGAAAAGTCATTTTCATCTTCTCCTGCAAACTGAAACTTATATATTTAAATAGCTCAGTTTAATAACTTCATTTCCCAATCTGAGAGGTCTCTTCAGACTGGGTAAAGTTGAGTACCTGAATTACAAGTGACAAACATTTGATCCCTGAGGGTGTCATTTAGCATTGCAGTGAGGAACTAACACCAAATACATGCGATTTTCATCCAGTGAAGCAACATAAAATACACACAAGGAAATCAATACCTCACACTTTCACATTAGTTTGAGGTTTTAACTCATCACCACAATGCTGATATATACTAGAGTTAGATTAAAGAGTCTAAAAATCACAAAATACTAATCAACGGAACTTATTCATATCTTAAGATAAATGTAATCAAGACTCTGACTCTGCTTGGTTCTATTTTAAGTTCAATGGCAATCTTCTTAATATATTAAAACAAATCCCACAAAAGCTAAGCCTTTGTAAAATTATCTTGACATATAAACTTCATTATATACAGCAAGGTTCTTAAAGACAAACATTTAGTTCTATCATGCACAAACACACTAAGCAGTATTCTTTTATATTTGTTAAATACTAAACCAAATAAAAGCTGTACACATGTTGGTAAATACTTTGCAGTATTTTTAAGAGCTGCATCATCTCCATAAGATTAGAGACTTTGGGTCTCATTTATTTACCAAGCAAGAGGTGGTCAACTTGTATCATAGTAAAAGTCAGTCTTAAATCTTCACAAACCATGGAGACATTTATAAAACACGTTTGTGTTTATAAATTCCTCTCTCATAATGTTTTCTTCATTAAGTGTTACATTCATTGGGAAATAACAATAAGCTATAGTAAAATCATTAATTTATCAATATTGGGGGAGGGGGTGTTTCTTTTCACACAATTCAGCAACAAGAGTTTTTGAAAAGCAGAGCCAATAGCGAGTCTCTGGACTGCTTTATTCTCACTCCAAAGTGACAACGACTGAGAAAAACTAAACAAAAAACAAATCACAGTTTGATTACCTTGACATACAAATTAAAATATTTACAGGGTGTTAAACTGTGACATTTTTGGCTGTGTTACCCTATGACTATTTTTTTCTGTAAACTAATCTTCCAGTAGGCTGAGTGCTGTTTCATGAGAAACTGCTACAAAAGTTGGAAACTGTAAAAATCCGATATGAATTTTTCCACAGATGAGGTAGTCAACTATTAGCACTGCTACAGTAGTAATTGAGGAAAACAAACATGGTTTGCTACTCATATTTGTTAAAAAGCTTTAGAGTCTGTGAGAAATATTCAAGTTTTGTTGAATGATTGTCTGTGAAACTAGTTGTTAAATGACTAAATTTGCCTAAAATTTAACATTTGCTTTGTTGTCTTTTTAATCGTTATGCAGAAATTTAGTGCATGTTAAAAAAAAGCAAACAACTAGTTATTCACACAACCTAAGATTTGTATTTAGASCAGGGAGTGACAGTGTGCAAACAAAATGATCAATTTTCCAAAACATTGGTTTGTAGGTTAACATCTTGATTATTGTTACTGTGCTATTGTTACTTTTGAAAAGCTCCCTGAACTTTATTGTACTCCAGATTTCTTAATATTGATTTAGATGTAAAATATTTGTATTTCTTTATTAAAAATTTCTATGCATTACTTGCATCGAAAAGGATGCAGGAACGCAAAAACTTCATAAGCAAAAACTCGCTAGAGCTGTGTAAACCTGATAAAAAGAATAACGGGATATGACCTCATTATTCGGAAACATCCTGAGGTAAAAGTGAGAACGCACCGTGAAGTGCCCTGTTGGGTGAGGCAGTCAAAAATCAGGCTAAAATTCAATAAAAACATTAAAAAGGAAGAGGCCTTTTGAAATGAAAGACTAGTTTTAGGACAATTAGAAAACAGAAATAAAAGACAACAATGAAGAACCCATCAAAAATAAATCTAAAAGAGAATGATTTTCATTGAATGTTTACGTTAGTAAATAAGAACAGAATGAGGTGCAGGAGAGGCAAATCTATCACATGCAGCAGGCAAGTAGGTACGAGTTTATACTGAGCATATGAAGTTTAATTTTGTTTTCTCATCATTCACGTGATGAAAGTAGAAATTGTGTTTCTTTAGCTGTCTCAAGAAATATCTGAAAACTAGAATATATTTCACATAAAACTAAATTGCACAAACCTGAAGGCTTTTGTCGTTACTGACAGTTTCAGTAAGATTGTAAAGAAATCTGAGAGTAGGATAAGCCCACTAGCCAGTAGGAGTGACTTGTATTATAAAATAAAATATCTGTACCTGAGTATTGTGATGTTTGGACATTAATTCATCCCCTGCCCAAAATAGTTTCCTTTACTAGTGTTGCATGCATCTCAATATGAGTTTTTCCTCTATCCTGTGACAGCAGTTAAAAATTGGACCTTATGAAATAGTATTTTATTTAAAAATGCCTATGATTACAGGATTAACTGGATTAAAGAAAGGGAAGAATTAAAATCAGGACAAGTCTTTGCCACTGATGCTAAAATACAATAATTATAAATAAAATTTATATAGACTATTGTGTTGAATTATTATATTAGTGTTTTGACATAATAAATACAGTTTAAAATTCAGGTATAGAAGTGCAACGGCTGCAGTGATTTTCACATGAATATTAATTAATCTGCTTTCATGCGTCCTATAGGGTCTGAATACTCAGTTTTGTTTGAATAGGACAAGTTCTGAGATAAGACACACAGGGGCGCCATATACCAAGTTAAAATTTTACTTGTTCTGTAAAAAACAAAAGAAATAACAGTAGTGCTTTAAAATGTTTGACAGGCACAGTTCGTGCCCCTAAATGTTTAAATCTTTAAAAAATAAAAACTTTAAAAAAATTTGGTATAACTGACCAAGAATGGAAGTAAAATAAAACAGGTCTATGATGAAACTAGCCTCTTTTTTTTTTTTGACAGCTAACTCTGCCACTATTATGTTTAATAGATGCAGTGTTAGCACATTTCAGGTGGTTCACTCAGACTGGGAGTTTCCTTCATGTAAAACAACCTCACTGTCTTCTGCTGACAACTTCTCCTTTTCCTCAAACTTTGGGTTCTGAGAGCTCAGGTGGTCCGTCCCTTCAGAGGACTGCTCAACAACCTGGTCATTCACCCGATTTAGCAGCTTCATTTTCTTTTTAGGAGGATGTTTCAAGGTTCCCATACGCTCTTTAACTTTATATTCCAGTGTACTGTGTGGAATTCCGTAGATCGACTGGGCTTTAGACACGCTCATTTTCCCACCCATCACGACCAAAATGGCCTCTTCCAACAGCTCAGTGTTGTATTGTCGATAGCGTCCCCGCTTCTTCCTTGGCTGCGTGTTACCTGGGTCCGACTCAGAATCCACAGAATAAATCCCACCTAAGTTTTGGCCGTCAGTGGGGAAAGGCCAGTATTCTTTCTCCGAACCTGAACTATTAGAACCCAGACTGCTCCTTTTCTGAATCTGCCTGGGAAGAATAGAGCAAAGCTTCTTTTTGCCACTATTCTCCTGGAGTGAATCTGAATAATCAGTGGACACGGCATCCCAAGATGGCTCTGTTCCTGTGGTCAGACCCCGCACTTGGGGAATCTTGAGGTCAAAAGACGTAGAATGAGAAACAAATTGATCCCTGCGAGATTCCTTAATGTTTCCATTCTCAGCAGAAAGTGGTTTAGGCAAAAATCCTGCAGCTTCCAACAACTTGGGTATGTCCTTAAGGTGCTTCTTAGCTTCCTCRCTGGTTTTGAGTTTGAGCAAAGCCCCAAAATGAGACGTGGAATTCCAAGAGGAAGAGGATGCACTTTTGAAAAGTTCAGTGGGGCTGGACCTGGGGTAATAGCTGAGTGGTGACTCTGGGTCGCTCTCCAGATTGGCCTCCTCATTGATGTGCAGCGAGTATGCAAGTGACGAGGTAGGTTTATAACTGGTGGAGTGGCCGAAATTCTCCCTCCTCCTCCCATCCTGTAGGCTCCTCTTAAACGGCCCGACTTGTCCATCCACGTTCAAGGGTCGCCTGATTGGATGGAAGGAAATTGGATGTAAGCAGAGCTTGCACATTGCCCAATAATCTTTGTAAAAGTGGATGGGTTGTGGGGAGGATGTTGGCCACTCCTTTATTATATGACCTTGCTTTGGTAACATCACTTGTTTTTAGTTACTGAACATGTGTGTGCAAGACTTAAGAACAAAAAAGGCTCCAGTTTGACAATCTTTTATTTGTCTTTGTAGATCACTTTACAAATTTTGCAAGAATATAAGAAGGAAACTAAAAAGAAAGGAACAACAAAAATAAAAGTAAAGAAGGAGTACTTATTTGGAATTCATACAATTCTTTATATTCCTGTGGCTCAGAATGCACAACCAGGAAGAGGGATTGGTGTTGCAACTGAATGAACTTTGCATGTAGATTTTGAGCAGAGCACCATAACTTGCTGTCTTTTATAATTGATGCAAAATAAAGGCTATTTTGTGTGTGACGTTACCACAGAACAAGCACAGCAATAAAAGAGTATGCCAGCAGAGGGTTCTGGTGTTCTTCAAACCCAAATCAATCATGAATCTAAATTTTTTTAACAATTTATTGATTGTAGGATCTAAATGATTTGAAATGATTCATTTAAATTTAAGTAAAAAGATCAGATTTCCACAACAAAGATTACTTACATTCAAGTACATGATTAAATTTAGTTTTCACTGCTTCATTGCAGTTTATGTTTTTAAATGCCAGTAGTTTTGCCATGGACACCACTCATTTTATCTTATAGAGATATTCACAATGTGAATATATTGCAGAGCTGCGTGTAAATCAAATGCAAAAACACTGAAAAGATCGGGAAATTTTTCATAACATTAGAAGGAGAAAGAATAAGAGTGAAAATTTACTGGAGCTTAATTATTTATGTTATTTAACTTTGTTTGAATAAAAACATCCAAAAGGCTTTCCTTTCAAAGTCAATTATGTTTATATAAGGGAACCTCTAATGTTTAATTTATCGATTGTTAAATTAAAAACAACATTTTACTATAGAGAATAACATTAAATCCTAAAAAGAAAGACCATTTGTTTGGAGTACACAATAAAAGAAATCTAAATCCAGTCTAATTAAAAAATACTAGAAATTGACATCCTTTGTTCATTTATGACAACTACTTATGCAACAAGCATAATAAGAAGAGTACCAAAAATACCTTAAGTTTGATTTTAATACAAATCCATGGTATTTTTATATTTATCTAATCGTAAAGTATTTTAACTAAACTTGTATTTAGTCGAGGCTTTTCGCCAGGCTGAAGGTTCTACAGTAAATAACTGTAATTTCCAGAACAAGTGCCTTTCCAGAAAAAAGGGGCAACACTAATCGCATGTTAAAAGCCACACCTGTTCCCAAACTTACACAAGGCTTTCTATTTAGGCTGGTAGGCATATTTTTCAGATGTTTGCACAATAAAGACTGTATCTTATTGGATTTGCGGGAGTAGGTTATAAAAGTACAACACCACCAAAATCAAAGCTGTTTAAAAGGAACATTTCCCATAAATTCAGTTCTTTAGTTTAAAGAAAATCATCTGTTTGCACAGTGTTGTGGACTGGGCACAAACTGATCTCCAGTGTAATGACTTAAATTTCAGACCTTGTCCAGTTCATTGACGACACTATTTACCAACTCTATTTAGAATTATGACCATTCTTAAATATAACGCAACAAACTACATGGCATCACTACTTAAGGACTCAAAGGAAAGAGAAATAAATTGTTCTTACCCTTTTGGTGTGGATGTGGCTGGAGAAAAGCAGAGACTGTGACCAGGTAAGCTGCTGTTGCTATGGCGGCTCTTTTTGATAGACAAATCAAGAACTCCATCTATATTAAGAAATAATAATAAAGTAGAACATACCATATAGAATTAGTGTTAGTTTCAGCCTGATTTATGTTCAGTGGAGTTCCAACGTTTTACTCTTTCACAGCACCTTGTTCGGTGGGTTCTGCCGGGGGCTTTTTGATGGTGAGGTCAAGGGGAGCATCCTGATCAGCCATGAGGAGCTTGCACAGCACCGGGTTCTGGTTGTGTGCAGGCCCAGCCAGAGCGGCAGCAGGAATCATGGGAGGAGGCCCTGACAGGGAGCGAGGGGCTGGCAGGCTTTGGTCAGAGTGAGGCGGGGAGTCTGAACGACTGTCCTGAGGAGAGCTGGTTTTTGAGGTATATTCGGCAGCGAACTGACTGATCATTCTCTGGAGAATCTCTCGAGCCACTACTGGAATGTGTGGATCTGAGAAATTTGGCACATCTGCAAATAAAGCAGGTAAAAGTCTATTCAGCGTATGTCTTACTAAACCAGTTGTGGTGATTACCGTAGTGAACACAGAGTAATAACTTGTTTGTGGCCTGCTTGCAAAACAAACCTATTAACCTACGTAACAATTTATCATGCAACAGAAGGGCACAACAATCTGACCTAATAATAGCTTTGACAAAAAATAGTTAGTACTCTATGGCTGGTGGGTCAACTCTACAATGCAAGCTAGTGACACACTCCTGCATCATCATCATCATCATGGGTTCATCAAAACATACCTTTTCTGCAGAGAACTGCACTGAGAAACTCCTCTGCTTGCTTCTCTAGTCTGATGATTGTGAGCTGATCTTTAACCAGGAGACGTTTCTCATCAAGCCCTTTGTTTAAGCCAATCAAGTGATCCTGTCAAATCACAAAACTTAAATCAGGGGCCTTCAGAATTCAACAGAGTACAAACAGAACAAGATTTTTTTCTTCTTTATTCTGATCAGTGATTTGATCAAAGCAAAGGAGCAACTATTACATGTAGGCACCATTAATGCATGACAAAGCACTTATCGTAAAATCCCCTTTTCCAGTTCTACATTCACAAGAAATCTGCACTGTAAAATGTATCACATTTGCTGCAGCTTTAATTTTAAAGCTTAGAAATTACAAAAATTTACTACAGTGGTTACGTTTAGTTTTCCCTCTTACAGCGAAACAGAAAAAAACCCACATATTTAATTTAATTATAAGAGAAGAATTGGGAGAAAAATCTTACTTTGACTTTGTCTCTTCGCAAACAGCAAAATAAGCAGTTTTCATCAAATGACCAATCAGAAACAGGCTTTGAGTCTGTGGACATAAAGCAGAAACAAGTAATGAAAAACAGGGAGTAAAAAACACCTTTACCCTGTCTGAACTACTAAACTAAGTGGATATTTTAATCAATAGCATTACTGCTGACAATTCTTTATTAATTTCTGAAAGACATCTTTAACAAAACTAGAAAAGAAAAAGGCAAAAATCTAATTATAAAAGGCAAACAGGTTAAGTTATTTCACAATTCGTAAATGGTACATTATTCATCAATGCAAACATCATGATTTACCTTCAAAAACAGTACTTCAGAAAATAAAAAATGTTAATTTTCTATTTATTAACCTAAATTTATTATCATCATTTTTTTTTTTCAATTTCATTTTCAATTCAAAGACAAGGCCACAGCCAGACGCATGAAAAAACATGAGTGGGTTACGATGAAAGCATGAATGCCATCTACAGTTCAACTGAATTAAATGTTCAGCAAGAAATGCTAATGTCTAAATCTACTTGGGCTCACAAAAAAATACAATGGCAACACAGATAATGCCTACTATTGTCTTAGTACTATCATATATTGTGCAAAATGTCTAAGGGATCCTACGTCATCTAAAACACCTACTTTACAGAAACACAAGTCATTTTCTCTTCTGCTGGCAATGGGGCTTCAATGTGCTGGGGTACCAGATGGTACAATGAGCAGAAATGTCCTAATAAGAACAATAAAGAAAATGAGCAGGAAAAAAGACTTACCCTTAAATACTTTTAGGCTTTCTATCAACCTTGGACTGATCAGACCTTCAAGAATGCTCTCAAACCCTGAAGAAAAACATAAAGTCGTTAATTATTTAACTCTCAATGACAAATCGAACAACACTTTTACTTACATTTTGTTTACGGCTGATTACTGTTTCAAACTGTGGCCAAAGCAGAACAGAAACGCGAAATGAATCACTGATTAAAATCATCTTTTTGCCCAAGGGCTTAAATTATTTTGTTGTTCTCAAGAGAAAACAATGTTTGGGCCTTAAATACAAAACATCACTAAGATTTAATGTGAAAATATCTCAGTCATACACCAGTCTATGCCTTTTCATTTCATCTTCACAACCACTATATAAGAACAGCCTCCTCCCCCTCTCTCTCTTAAAACATACATTATGAGCTGTCACTTGCGGTTTTTACTTCAACAATAAATACATGCTTTATCCTTCTGTTGCCAAGCAACTAAAGCACCTACAGAGTTCAGACTGCTGCTAAAACATAAAATGAAAAGGCTTTCATGAGGACGGCTACATTGGATTGTGAAATATCCTACAAAATGGATGTAGACAGCTTAAAAATAAACCCAAATTCCACAAAAATGAAAGCATACAGGTGAGCAAAAAAAAAACCCATCATTAGAACTATCCTTCAGACTCAGTGGATTTAAAGTTATAGTATGCTGCAGAAGACTAACAATGTATTACAAAAATATGTAATGTTGCCTTACAGCCCTAGGGTCAGAATAACCAATCCAAAAACACTACATGTTAAACCAAGCATTAAAGAGGTCAAACAGAACATCTGTCCAGTGAACTGTATCTTAAACGTGAGCACAATATTTCAAATAAACCACCCACAAAAAAAATAAAAATAAAACTACCAAAAAAATTATGTTAAAAACAACTATAGCCGTTTGTTAAAAAAAGAGTTATGCATTACAGGAACTGAAAATAATTTGTTCTAAATTAAAGTGACTTTTAAATACAAATAACTGAATAGTCTAAATACAGAAAATGCCTACTTACACGCAACTTCATGGATGAAAACCCAAAGCTGAGGGAAATTTTGTCAGCCATCACCCTTTTTTTATTTTTTTGTAAAACTCAGTGAATTCAGTGAACGTTGTCATGTGTTAAAATGCCCCACTCTGCCTCACCAGAAACTCCCTCCCTCTTTTCAGCAGCCAAACATAAAGGGGGTGGGTGGAGGGGATGAAGTGGTGTACACACAGCCTTTGCCTATAGCTGCAGCATGGGTCTGTTTCTGGGTTAGTGCACAGGACTTCAGCTCCAGCGATCCAATCCTATTTCTGAAATATTTCAGAGACATGAGCTAAAAAGTGGGTCATCCACTTTGGTTCGACAGAGCAGCGCCWTGACATCAAACTACTCTTTAGGAATTCAGTTTTAGGCTTTTTTTTTAAGTATCACATTGAAATCCACAACTTTGAAGCCAAGTTATTGTTTTTTTATTTTCAAAAAAGGAGCATTGTATGGAACGATAGCTRATAAAAAAAAAAAGAACTTCTTTAAAGCCAACGCTTTTTTGGAACCAGCACGACAAATTTAGAAGAACCAGCAAAGTAAATGTGCTGGAGATAAAATATTTATTGGATGTGAAATTTTCAAGCAATCTGAAAAATAAATGAATACAAAAAACCGAATAACATGTAAGATACAAAACAAAATCCTACTGAATGTAGCAGACTTAACATTTGTCATGAGAATGGAGAAGCAACCATGACCATAAAAATGGAATGTGGCTATTAGTGCGCAACTGGTTAAAAGATTTGACTTTCTGAAACAGGATCAATAAGAAACAAGGATGTACAGAACAAAAYTGATGCAAAACTGACTGAAATAATAGCCACCAGACCTAGTAACTAATAAAACACTAAACAAGAATCGAAGAAGAGATGTTAGGTTCATGGGACTATGGATTACTTTATATGGATACAAATCAATGTGAATGTTCTCCTCCTCCCCAAAACTAATTATTTTTTGACATTTACAAACATTTATTTTCACAATGTTTTTTTAAAGATGTTCTTACTTTCTTTCCTGATGTAACCATTATCTTAAACCATGTGTAAGAATTAAGACCAGTGAGTGGCTGCACAACGTATACGCATGTTAACTGAAACAAAATATAATAAGATTTATTACAGTTCAAGCTATCCTTTGCAAAACTGATTTGTGCTTACTGATACTACAATGACAATAAATTTGCTATATATTGTGCAGCCCTATTAACAGGCCTACAACTGACAAGTATATTTGGTGGAAAAATGTGTTATTTTTAGTACTTACATGCATCCAAGCATTTATTTCAGTAATAAACTGGAGCTTTGCAAACTCGTGTTATAACCAATAAAAAACAGTCACATGGGGAAAAGGTGCACAAAGTTTTAAAATATTGTTGAAAAATACATAATTCGCACATCTTTGCCAGAAACTATTCAGACCAGTTTATGAAGCCTATAAATGTTCAYTGTGTTCAATCTTCTCCAGCCTTCTTCTGACCTACATCTTGATCCAATCAAAGACAAAAAGATTTGGAGAGTGCGACGCCCATACCGTTTGCAAAGGCACTTACAAAGACAAATCCCCAAGACCAGAGATTAGCGTAACCTCCCTCCTACCTACATCTAACTTGTCCTGCACATTAGCWACTGTAAATTCAGTCAAATGAATAATAAACCCTCCTTATTGCTTATTTCTGGCAGTAGGTGGGATGCCATTGTAGCCTATGTTATCTTTTATGAGTCTATGCCCAAAAACCAATGACTAGCTAATCAGTCATTTTTGTAATGCATTACAACTGAAAAACAGCAAGCATGTTTATTGCTTATATTTCAGTTTTGTGAGCTAATCCACCTGATAAAAATATTCAAAAACACTCGTAAAATTTATTTTTATGTTTTCATATGTGGTTGTTTTTCCTGCGTTTGCACTCAAAGCACTACAGATATTTTTATGTGTTCTACAGCAGCAGTACTCTAAATGATTTACTGCAATGTGTAAAATCCTAATGGGGAGACACAGTTTAGATGTAAAACATACTTTCTAACTCAAGGTACGGTATATTGTAAATTGTGTCATTTTTTAAAAATAGTTTCAATTTAGTTGCACAGCTTTTACGCAGAAAAAAAAATCTCATGGTAATCTTTCAGTTCAAAAGCTGCAGCATGAACTTCATAAAAACATTGTACTTTATCTTGTATATATTACCAAGCAGTGCCCTACATATAACTACATAACAGTATTGTATTTGTAGAACTTATTCAAGCTGGTTTAAAATAAAATAGTGAATGTATTTTATATCCATTCCCACCACACAAAAACATAGAATTAGAGATAGAAAAAATGAAAGAGTAGAAAGACGGAAAAGGGAATCTGACAAAAGCTAGCATACAGCTTTAACATGTGATCGAAATGCCCTTTCCTGTGGATGACCCACCCTTCCCTCTACGGCCCTGGAGGCTGAGGATGTACAGTGCTGCCTCAAACTCCACTCAACCCAGCCCCCACTCCACCAGTGTACAATAAGCTCAGAAGAGTGTTGAAAAGCTTAACAAGAGTCTTTCAAGGCACAAATATGCATGAGGTCAAACTAAAACTTTAAGGGGGGCATTTTTGAGAAATAACTTGAAGAAATAATAACATATTAGGAATAAATTTGGATAAAAAGAAAATAATGTGTGCTCTATGAAATGATGACAGAGCTGGAAGCTGAGCGATGAAGGAGTGCAATGATGACAAAGATGAACAATGCTTTCTGCTGCCCTACATGACTGTGTTCACCCCTGACCAGCCCTACACACACACACACACACACACACACACAAAGCTGAGTTTCCACTCAGCTTAAAAAAATAATAATTGTTGCCAACTTTTACATCCACAAGAAAGCAATTTGATTTAAAATCTGAGGCTAAGGTGAGTATTTACATGGGGAAAACATAGAGCAGGGAATAAGATATTAATAATATAAATATTGTTCACGACAAACAGGCAAAAGGAAAATAAACCACATCAAAAACATTTGCGATGTTTGAGCAAACTTTACAGCACTTTAACTACATGATGCAAACTGGTGTAACACTGAACTTGCTCTGTCATAGAAAAACATATTTTGTTTAAAAAATATGGGAAACGAAGGATGCACACACATCTGTGGATAAACAGGCTGTCAAATACAGCCATTAAAGCATTTTGGAAGTCAGCCTACTCTGTAAATAAGAAAACTGAAAACAGAGAGAAAGGAGGCAGAAAAAAAAGTCGGTCTGTGTGATGTCAATATTTGTTTTGTTTTTTTTGTTTGGGCAAATCCTATTCATTTGCATGTTAAATATAGGAAAGAATGGCTGACATGCAAGGCATTTTTAAATGTCAACTATTGTGGTTTCATTCCAAATTTGCTCAAATTCTAACAAAACACACTTTTTTTTTGCAACACAGTTTGCGTCTGGGGGATGATGGTTCATAAATACATGTATGGAGCAAACATACGGACAATTGATGCTGCTGTTCCGAGGGACAATTGTGCTTGTCTCCACCCTGCAGTTTCACTGGCATTAGATACGAGGACAAAATGTCCATTTCAGGGGACAGTGGAGTGGTGGTGGTGGCAGTGGCGTGCAACCCTCTTCACCAAAAAGCCAAACAAAGGTATGTCCTTGTTGTTGTGGGACAGAATATGCCATTCTACAAGCAGCAGGCTGATGCTGTTGTCATGCAATGTGCAGCTTCACAATTGTAGCCCAAACAGAAGAGACATTTGTCAATCATTATGAGGGGACTGACAAAACAGTTCTGAGCGTACAGCTAGGGACCGCTTTGAAAGCTAATTGTCTCCTCACTGTCTTTTCATTGACATGTACATTCCCACCCAGATTTGAAACTGGAATAAGAGGAATTAATTCACGCAGCTTTTACAACTAATAGTGAACACCGGGGCAAACCACTAAAGGGCTCGACACACGGGCAGCGACAAACTACAGCGATTAACGGCTGTCATCGCAGCCAGGGTGAAACCCGACACACGGGACGCGATAGCGATCGCAGCGTTGCGAATCGCGCTCTCAGGTCGCTTGTCTTCACAAAACTTGATTGGTTCTTGACTCTGAAGGGGGTGTGCATTACGGACGTGTAAGCTAAACAAATCTTGCGATGCTAATGATATTGAAAAACAAACACACATCAAGATACAGTTTTATGAKGAAAAACTTACCATAAACTTCACCCTGGTGCCAAYAAATTCCCACAAAGCTTTTTAGCAATCACTTGGTGAAAGCGTTAGCTAACGGCAGTGTGTAGCATACTCTCCTCTCATTGGTCAGTCAATGAAACCCTCGCTGATTGGTTGTACGCTAAGCGACAGCGACAAAAGTTGAACATTTTTCAACTTCCATATGTCGCGTCGCAAGCTCGCGCGTGCAYGTCTACGTGTACGAGCGCAAAATTTCACATGCACCATTTTCGCCGGTCGCTTAGCTGGAGGAGGGCAAGCGATTGTCGCCTCACCGCACAGGCTCCATAGGAAATGAATGGAGAGCGAGCGACGTCGCCTCCCGTGTGTCGAGCCCTTAACAATCATTGGTGTAGGTACAGCCCTAATATCATGGCATTTCATTTGGTATTGAACCAGTTAAAACCATTTAAATCTGGTAACTCGGACAATGTGAGGTGGTCTAAGATAGTGTTCAGTTATCACATGAGCTATATTGAATGTTTGATCATTTATTTTAGTTTAAGAAAAAAATGTAAATAGAATCTACAGAATAAGGCATAACTGCTTTTTAATCCAAATTTTGCAATAGCAATCTGTGGGATTATTGTAAAAAATAAAATCTCTTGAGATCAAAAGTTTTATTGAACTGGGTTGTTGAGAGACTGTTACCAAAAGATTACCGTTCAGTGGGATAATCCATAAACCAAGTGGAAGCTAATGCCACATTTCTCTACATTAGACTGGTCATAGTTTGTGTAGGTAAACATGAGGGGACCGGACAGGTGCAGAATCTTACAGAAGAGGTTTTAGGGGGAAATTTAAGAGGGAAAAGCTGCTGCTGAACGCAAAAATAACGAAACACAGAGTAAGACAACTGTCAAGAATAAATTTCAAGCATCAAGCAGGATAGTCGAGCATCAAAAGCACAAATTGACATTCAAAATGCAGCTTTTGAAAAACCTCTGCTAGATCGGCAAGGCTTGACCTATTTTCAGTCACTTCGATCTTTCCATAGGTAAACAAACACGTATAGTATTTGTCATCCAGCTCCAAATTTTTTTATTTAAAGGACATATTAACCATTACTATGAGAAAACTACTGTGGGAATTAAGTTTATTGCTTTTGGGTTTTTTGTCCAGTCTTCATGTTTTTGCAATGAGTACCTTTAAATTATGTCAACTCAGTGATGAATTCCAAGCTTTACTACAATCTCTGTATGCTAAACTCTGCAGCTGAAAAGCATTAATCCTAAATTGAAGTGACTTGAGATTGACTGGAATGTATACACTTTGCTCCAAATAAAATCTAAACTGAATTTTAATTAAATCGATTACACAAAACAAGTGAAAAGTTAGATAACTTAGAGGCCGTAGGRAAAAGGGTAAAACTGCCAACTGTGTGGGGTCTGTGCTACTTCCTTACTGCAGTAAAAGCGCGTCCACAGGGCGGTAGTTTGAGGAAGGCAGTAGTTAAGTGAGAATTTCACCTCGCAGGTCTGTGTCGCCCTCCCCCCACCTAAAATACTGTATCATCATCGTACGGGAGCGCGCATTTTCAGAACGGGTCGCTTTTGGCCGACTCGACACTCCCTTTAAGCAAACACGGTGCCCTTTAAATTAACTARCGTAAGGCCAGCAGATAGTTTCTGTCTTTAACGACGGCTTAAAAAAACACCAAAAGCCCAAACACGAAACACCAGGGGTGGAGTGACGCTGTAWATAACTGCAACAAATAACTAACAACCCCCTTGGCTGTAGTGAGAAACAAACAGTTAAGGACAAAAAAAAAAAAGTCGCGGCTCGGAGATGCCCCGACTCGGTTGGTGCGGTAATATATGGGTTATTTACACCGATAAAAGATCGCACAAAAGCGACATTTAACCAGTAAAATTGCGAAATGTGCAACTACCAGAATTCTTACCTACACAGTGAATGAGTTTGTGTCGCCACGARTCAAGTTCCTGCCGAAAGCCGCGCCTGTCGATTGTGCATTGCTGCTTTTTACACGGGCTCGCCATTTTCTATTTTTCCTCTGGCGGGCCGGGCACCCGCACGCGAAGAGGAAACGCTCTGCGCGCGCGCGCCTCCGCGTACATGAGGAAATAACTCCAGTAGGAAAAAAAAGGGGGGGCAGCCATTAACACAAAGACAATAAACCAAACAATCCGATCATATCGGTGTGTAAATAAGTAGCCACGTAGATAGGCGGTGGAACGAATWTAGAAACTTGATTATTTTGCTATCCTATGTTAAATAGCTACAACAATGGCATTTTTTGCACCCATTGCTTATATGTTTAATTAAATATGTGTGAGCTTAAACTCATAGTTTATGCTTATACGTCCTTAATGCCAGTATGACAAAAAAATGTAATCTGTAGAAGTTCACATGGATCCTTCAGGTCCTCTTGACCTGTAACTCAAATAACCAAAATGAAATATGGATATTGCTGTTAAGATTAACATGATTTATCTTAAAATAGATGAACAAAGAACTAATTATTTACCAGTGAGTGAGAACTGTTGGTTGCTGTTGACCCAAATTGAGGAATGAAGAAGTCATGTGTGATTTGGGAAGGTCCAATGGCTTAGAGGACAAATCAAAGCCTACACAGGCTGTACCGAATTACTTAGAAGGTAAAATAAGAACATGACTGTGAATCCTTGACTCTCTGTAGTCTCAAAGACAACATATGGGTCACGTGACAAAAGGTTCACAGATGTATCTGGAAGAAATTAAATATAGTTTGGCTTCAAGATGAGTCTTGAACTTTGAAATGATTCTTAAATTGGGGAAAATATGCAAAAGCATCCCTGTTGTTGTGTTTATGCACTGCTCATTTTTTATAGCCATTCAACCACACACACAAAAAAAAATGCTGTTTCTAAAATTAAAACAAAAAAAATACATTTTCAGCATTAAAATTTTTGGATAATTTTCTTTCTACCAGGATAGGATCATTTTGAAGCTGTTTAAAAGCAGGGATAGTTTTGAATAGGCCATAAAAATACAGGAAGTTTGAGAACCACAGATAATAATTATTTTCTGCCACCAAAAGGCAAAGGCAGACAGTTTTGCCTGTGTCCGTGTGTGCACACATTTGTTTCATGAACCTGTTAAATAAGACCGGTTTTATTCCTCTTTGAATGGTAAATCAACCTTTGCACAACTGTGCAAAACTATCCATCATATTGTTTTAAATGCTAAAATTAGTGTTCAATTTGTGGCTTTGTGTACATGGAATAAAAGATTTCCTGAACATATACTGCTTTTTCTCCATGTTCTTTTTGTATTGTAGAAAAACATCCAGTTAAATGAGCTCATTGCACGTTGAAAGCTAGAGGCACAAGTGTCTTTGAAAAAAAAAAGCCATCAGAAAGATCCTTTTATCCTTTTGATCATTTGGACATAGATGTTTTATTGTGTTTTTGCATTTATTTAAATAGTTCCTTCCACCCAAAAACATTTGTCCTCTGTCACAATTACTGGTTGTGAAATGTCACTGATGTTCTCCACTGTGTGTCAAAAAGATTAAAGTGGTTGATGTGACGTTTTGAACAAACTACACATGAGGATTGTCTAACTGCACAGACTTATAAACACTTTCTAAAGTTTGTCAGATGCTGGCTGACAATAAACTTCTTAAAACTACAATATTTTTTGGTTTTCAACCAGTTTGTTCAGTAGACAGCATAGTCCAACAATGCATATATTAAATCTTCAATATAGGTTGTGATAATTAAATAAAAATATTTAATTTTTAAATACACGCTTATTTTATTTTATTATTATTATTTAATAATGCTTTTTATCTTAGCTGCTGCATGATGGAGCTTTTTCTTTAAAACTGCTTTCAGTGACAACCGGAATTCTTGCTTTTAGACCCTCAATTTAGTAGATTAACGCTCTATACAATACATTTTGGCAAATCGTTGATCTTCAAAGTGTAAACATTTGAGTCAAATTGGTTAATGTTTATTTTATTTTCATTTAAGTACACAATTAGCTATTTTTACTCACGTGTCCGTAACAGAACGCTTTTATCTCGAGCTTTACGAGCTACACCTGAACGCAACATCCGCCTTTTAGCCGGTGTTTTTATTTATTGACGCCCCTCTGCTCCTTTAAGCTGGCTTCCATGCTCCTGGGACCGCAGGTCTTGTGTGCAGGTAAATTCTATGTTTTTAGACGTTCCTCCTGCAGATGTGTTGTTAAAGGTTACAGGCGCTTTAAATCGGCTTTTCAGCCAAAGCGACAGCCTGTTCAGCAACATGTAGCTAGTATGTGTGTATGTGGGCTTTGAGTTAATCGAACCGTATTGACAGCTTTAATAGATATCTGTAATAATGTGTGATGGTTTCAGTCTTTCCCTGATGAATTATTTATTTGCTGGCGACCGCCTGGGTAAAAATTACACCTGGTTGCCATTCTGCATCGCAGCCATTTGTTTTTAAAGGGAGAGTCACTAAAAACAATGGGTTATTTTGAAATCACTGCAACAAAATGTGTTTTTTTTTTCTGTAGCCTTTCTTGTTTCGTGTTTTTGTGAATTTGTTTGAAAAAGGTTTTATCCATAACATTTAAGACTCACCAGACTGACAGGTAATTCTTCCATATTCAAGCTGTTTGTTCAGTTGCATTCAAAATAAAAAAATAAAAGCTTTTTTATTGCTATGTTGCGTTTAATTTGCTGCAATTGTGTTTATTTATATAGCACAGATTCACCTCAAATTAATTTCAATGTTGCTACAGCTTACAAAAAAATGCTGATTTTATTATAGCTATTTGAGTCTTTTGCAACAGATCAATTTTTATGCACACAAATCTGAAAAAAGCAGAACAAAAGCATCACAATTATTTGACCTGGGTAGACAATCTTATTCCACATTTTTTGGGACTAATATTGTATTATATGTTGTTTTTTTTTTCTTCTAGATATAATGATCTGTTTCAAATATTTACATGTCTTTATCTTTGTGACATGAAAACACAGGAGTACCATGACTCTGACCAGAGGATCTTTCACCTATGCCAGCGGCGAAGAATACCACGGCGAGTGGAAAGAAGGTGACTGCTCGTGTTTCACAGTTTCTGTGAGCATTTGGTTTCAGTGGCTTTGTGTTAGAGCTGACAGGAGCGAACTGTGTATCTTTTTCTGTTCAGTTTACATGTTTTTGTTTGTTATAAGTCTGGATTTAATATTTAAACTAGTGCTCTATTTCTGCAAATAGTTAAAAATATTTCTGTAATATAGATACTAAAGAATATCACATTTATATTGTTATACACGTTTAAACCTTAAAATTATTGCAAATAATACTGAGAGGACATGAAATGTTGAAACTGACAATTTTTTCTTTTTCTTTCTTTTTTTTTAAATTTTATAATAAAAACATAGTGGCTGGGACATTTAACGGTTATTTTTGCATCACCAGTTCTAAACAAAACTGTTGGAACCTATAAAGGTTGACACTTTTGAAACTTTTTTAAGGTATTTTTTTTAGATTATTTCTGTAGTAAGAGGCCAGAATCCCCGAGTTGTTGTTTTATTTAACTCGAGTGTTCTCTCACAACCATCCACATCCCTGTCCCCTTACTTTCAGATTTGTTGTCATATTAATCTGACATCAACTCATTTAGCCAAACTATGTCTGAGATGAAAAATACCTGAGCAGAGGTCATAATTTAAATTGGACTTTTAACAAAAATTAATATAATGCAACCTGCTTACGCTATGTAGATGAACTAACTATGTGCAGAACCAAAAGGTTTGAAGTTCAGAACTATTTAGGAAAACGTGCGGTTCTTTAAAGATAAATAARTTATGACCAGATGCAAGGTGTGCACTCTGGACAAAAGTATTATTTTGAGTACTCAATGGTGGTTAAAAGTAAAGTGGGAATTCAACGCTTTACTGGTCTCACACTGTCGTTCCTAAAATAGAAATCACTGCAAACCTTTCAGGATTAAACGTCCGTAATTCCCACTTGCACAGGAGGCAGATGGGACTTCTAATTCAGAAGTAAACCTTTATCTCATTTGGTTGGAAGGGGTTTTAAAACTAAGCATTTACTAACTCCAGTCACATGGAAAACAAAAAGTGATGTCAAACTCCAAAATGCAATGTTGGTTGGCCTTTTTTTTTTATCGTTAAGAGGCATAAAAACATATATGTAGAAAAAATATAATAGGTTATACAAAGAATGTTATGTTAAATAATGTCACGTTTTCTTGATCCGTTTGAGCCATTTCTCAATAAGATCCAATGATTTTCAGGTCGGAGACACGGCCTCGGTCAGCTCACGTTTCAAGACGGAACCTGCTACACGGGTCAGTTTGAGAACGGACTCTTCCACGGTTCTGGTGTCCTGATTTTCACTGATGGATCCAGGTATGTTAAAGCCCTGTCACACTAGACAACTTGTGCCAACTTATGAAACATTTTTATGTATAAATTRCTAATGAAAGTTATATAATTGATTGGTTTGTTCAAATTGCATTATGTACACAATGAAAAGAAGATTCCTGTTGATTTTTTTAAAATTCCACCTTCAACGTAGATGTCTTTAAAWTGTTCATAAGCTGGTATAAGTTGTCTAGTGTGACAGCGCCTCAAGCAAGTTAAAATGACGGCATATTTTCCAAGCAGTCAAAAGTTACTAAAAGCAACCTGTTTACGCCGAGTCAGGTACGAAGGAGAGTTCTCACATGGAAAGTTTCAAGGCACGGGGGTCTTCAGTCGATACGATGGCATGAAATTCGAGGGCGAATTCAAAGACGGGCGCGTGGAGGGATACGGTGAGTGTCTGACCTCACCGGAAACGTCTCATTGTCAATATTGTCTCCCTGTGGTTGGTCATGGCGGGCTGTGTCTGCGCCTCCAGGGTTATTGACTTTTCCGGATGGAACCCATGGCGCTCCACGAAACGAGGGCTTGTTTCAAAACCACAAGCTGCAGAAACGGGAGAAGTGTCCAGGAGTGGTGCAGCGTGCGCAGGCTTCAGCTTCCGGTGCTCACAGCCTGGCACTTTGACAGCATTGGACTCCAGAGGAGGAGACGTTAGCAGAGTTCCAGCACCTTCCAGAAGGGCCTTAAGGATGTACACTTTGCTCCAATTCTTGGTATCTTTAGCTTTTTTTATTTGTTTATTTATTTTACGACCCCATTTTTTTTCTCTCATATTCTGCAGTCCAACTTTACGGTAACCAAATGCAAATGCAATTTGACCAAATAGCCATTTTCCGAATAGCTTGCTAGAAATGCACAACATCATAACATCACRAGTAATGTAAGCAGCAAAAGCTGCTCTTTCCGATGCTCTTATTGCACTCAGAAGTGTCTTAGAGTTTCTCTTTAAAACTCCAGGCAAAGAAGAGCTTTTCCAACAGTCTTGCAGTTCAGCTGCCTCCTAAGTGAAGTCTTCGTAAGGTAAAAACGATGGATTTTGATTTGATAAATGTTCTGTAAAAAAGGAGAAAAGTGCTGCAATTATAACTTCAAATAAAAAAAACCCTATGAATGCAGTGAAAAGGATGAATGTAAACATCACTTTTATTTATTGTCCCCGCAGGACACCTTATAGGAGTCATTTCATATGTCTTGTTCTGTTAGCAAACTTTCACGAAAAATGGTTTTGTTCTTTGTGTTTCTCCCCGTTGAACATCAGTATTCACCTTTGCCTTAAAGGGACTTTTCTACCACGGCATGATTTAGGGGTTTCCATAAGATAATCACATGATCATTCCTTGCCTGGAGGTGTCTGTTGGGAGTTTAAGGTCTGCTTAAAGATTGCCTTTATTCAGAGAGACGTGTTTCTGAACTGGTGCTGAGCTTTGGCTCTAATTATCCTCACGTCTTGTTTCCACCAAACCAGTGGAAATGAGCGAAGAAGAGATTTACTGTAATTCCACTGTCTAATCTGAAATATCAGGATGACTGAACGTCTTTAAGTATGGATCAGCTTCAGACTAAATGCATTAAATTAGGAACGTAGATGTTATTTGAAGCAGCTAAATGAAAAAGTGTAAATATAATAAATATTTAGCTATTCAACATACGGATTTTCCTGTCAAAATATAAATAATTATCGTCATGGAAAGTGTTTAAAATGCCATTGAATTGATTAGGGTAGTTATTTGTGTTTTTTCTAATGTACTGTAGTTAAATACATATATAAATGGTTTATTGTAGCTGATCGAAGCTGCACTGTGATTATAGAATAAATCATTTTACTTGAACATGTAGTAAGCCTTACAACACGGTAGATTATTATATCCTGCCTACAAAACTTCAAACACTGACAATCAAAGGTGAAACTACCAAAAGTATTTAAACACAAATCTAACATCTAAAGAAATTCAAAAGGAGACGAAAAGCTCCACTGAGACTAATTACACATAAAAAACAACAACAATATAATAATGGCTTAAACAGGAAATTGATGTATGTTGCATTTCTTCTTTAAAATCTCTAACCTGAATTAATACAATTATACATTCACATTGCTGTTGCTTTTTATTAAAGCAAAGAAGTCTTGTTTAACCATGCTGGTGCTTGCTTTAAACGTTAAAAATAAAGCTGTGCACTTTTGAATATTAAATATCAGATCAGTACAGACATTATTTTAAAGGGACATTTGAATGTATGTGACTGTCATTTTAAAAAAATAAGTTGTATTTATGTCACATTTCTGCCCCACTGGTGAGAACAACACTGGCTCAGATCATAATTCCCTGCACACGCCTGCCCGCCCGCCTGACTGTAAATGAATGCAAAAGAATTGATTTCCACTTGAAAACAAATGGTGCTTTTAAAATTGTGCCTGTGCAGATTTTACCCCTCGCCTGGAAATGACCGTCACGGTTAATTTTTATTTATTTATTTATTTATTTATTTATTTATTTATTTATTTATTTATTTATTTATTTATTT